TTATGTCTTATCTTCAGTTAAATTTAAAATATATCTGACATAAACTCAATAAAAAATTTGAACATGAACCATAAAGTGAAAATTAAAGTGAATGTGTTTGGAATGAGGATGCTTGTGAACTGTTTTTTTTTCCACAGATTTTTATTAAAAAATAAAAGTTTTTACAACAATTTGAAATTTGGCCTGTTACGCGTTGTTGACAAAACTTCTCCTGCTGTAGAAAAAAATACTACATTTACAGCAAACCCTTGTTTAGCTTAGGGGCCCTTGTTTAGGCCCCTAAACAAGGGCCCCTAAACAAGGGCCCCTAAACAAGGGCCCCATGTTTAGGGGCCCTTGCTCCCTGGCACTGTCGATGGCGTTTCTGGGGCGAATAATATTGTAGATTTTTGGCAACACCACTATAGCAAGCTATTCACCTGTGTACAGAGCGAATCCTGTCTTCTTTAAGTTTTATATGAATGAGCTCTAAGCAGCTAAACCTGTGTAGAACGGGCTGCCTGGTTGGAGATACAATACGCTGATGACTTGGTGGTTTTTAGTCCAAGTTCAGCTGGTCTTCAGCATACGGTGAGCTACATGATGGTAAATTCAATCCATCAAAAGGTACCATTTTGATCTGTCACACTAAGGAGGACAAGAACCGGATATTTCCACATTTTAAGCTGTCTGGGTTTTTATTGAATGTCTCACAGGAAGTGAAATATGTTGGTCATGTGCTGACAGACCGTCTGTCTGATGATGAGGACATTTACCGTCAGGTTACAGTGATGTCTGCTCAGGCAAACATCCAGTCCGTAAGTTTGGATTCTGTTCTGATGAAGTGAAACTGAACATCACTGTATGCGGCACATCGGTGGTGCAATTTTAAAAAAGCCAGTCTTCATAGACTGAAGGTGGCTTATAATGATGCACTGTTTGTGAAATAAGCCCAGATGGACCAGAGCCAGTGAACTGATTGTATCTGCTCACATCAGCACTTTGACGGCTGCTTTAAGAAAGTTTATGTATAAATTTATGTGTCGCTTAAATGTGTAATAGAATTATTCTACTGTTGACCAACGTTAAATATAAGGCAGTAAAATACTCATCTGTACTTTGGAGATATTGGTATGATTGCCTCCTGAGTGGTTAGGAACCTTTTCTATTGTACTTTCTATTTTATTTGTTATCTTTTTTATGCAATTTGGACTTTGGGTCTGTAATATCCATCTATCTAAGACACAGCAGGACGTATCATCCAGGAAATGATGGAGCCCAAGCCCCAAACTGCAGCCCGCGACTCATTAAATCTGCAAGTGACGTTAGAAACAAACAAGCCTAAAGCTGCTGATAATAATCAGACTTGGTGAACGAAACTCAAAACAGTTCCTGTTTTTCCAGCAACAAAATGCGCATCTCGCTCTGTTTGCTTCTGTTGCTGCTGAGAAACGGCCATCACTCCTCAAGACGCGTAGAGGAAATAAATTTAATTACAAAAGATACGAGTAACGCACAGTCATGCTAAGTGATTTTGATAAGTAGCTGTACTGGGTACTGGATTTGAAATAGAAACACGTTGGATTACTCATTACTGAAAAAAGTGATGGAAACAAATCAGTTTAAAAATGATGATTCTTGCATTGTTTCATATGTTGCTGATTCCATGCCGATCAGCAGGCCAGTGGCCTACTGACTGAAAACTTGCAGCATCTGTGAGATGATGCTGTGTGGAAATGCAACATGTTTCACAGGGGCCTTTTATCGCATCCAGCCTCAGGCACAGCTGTGAGGTGGGAGGGCCTATCTGCAAAGGGGGAGTGCTCACTGTCACAGATTTAGGTGGTTTGTTGACAATATTTGAGAGAAATGGTTTGCAAAAACTAAATGTTACATTTATTTTATGTTCAGATTTGAGAAAAAGAAGCATCTGATCAGGAGAAACGGATCAGAAGACAAAATGATTCCCACTGTTAGGTGAATTCAAGAAGCCAGAACTGAAAGTTTGAGGAAGATGTCGGCACGTCTCTGAGTCACGTTTCCTCTGGTCACAATGGTTCTTAAATCAGGAAGGACAACCGTCAATGATTCATTTGCTAGAAATCCTGGAATAAAAAGCATCAATTTGATCTGGTTTTTAGTGACATTTTTCACTTCCTTTAGAAGTTAACTGTCAAAAACTCACTGCAGTCCAGGATGAAGAGTCCAGTTGAGAATACAGCAGCTGATCATTTCTGCTATCATTATCCAGTTAAACCAGTAAAACCAGTTCCTCCTGACCCACTGCCCAGCTGCTGGAGCCTCGTCTCCTCTCTGGTGAACTCCACCTCTCCTCTCCACCAGGGGGCGACATGCTCCAGCAGGCGGCGCTCTCCTTGTGCTCTGTGCTCCAGCATCGTGTCAATAAGAAGTGG